GGACTACCGGTACAGGTTATACTGCTATGAAAATATAGTCCTGAGTGTTCATGCAATTTTTGCATACTTTACTTAGGTTTTTGTTTAACAGGGCTGTAAGAAACTTTAGTTTGTCTCTCTGTGGGGCAGGGTCAAAAAGTCGAGATGGTAGCTGCACTCTTACAAACAAAACCCTTCCTCTTTGTTATGTGTGATACAATGCCCGTGAAAAAAGGGCAGTGCTTTGATTGCGGTCACCGCTGCCATATTGACTTCTTTGACACTATGACCCCTGATACAGATCCTGGTTTGTGAATCTTTTTTGCATTCGTCTTCAATGCTGTGCACACATTATTTTTGCTTTTATGCTTTGGAATTTTATGGCCACTGAATGGTAGTGTTGCATACATATAGAATGTAGCCTTTATTTTTAATCTTTCCTTTCACTATTTATATACTCTTGACATTCATGAATGATTAATCAAATTCACTTGGTAGCTTTTTGGACATAGTTCTATTTCAGGTTGGTCCGTGAATTTCCACGCTACATTAATGTCATGTCTTTTGTGTGTGTGTGTGTGGGGGGGAAAGGTGACATGAACTTGGTTAGCCCAAGTCTTCTTAGCATATTTCTAATCCCCCAAAACACTTTTGGATTCCCCCCCACCCCCGAATTGCAACCCTGCTACATATCTGCTTTTTTTAATTAATGGAGAGGAAGATTGTTCTGTGGAGCAGCTGTTCAAAATTGGGAAAATAACCTTTGTGTAATAAAACTCCTATCTGTCCGTGCACTTGGCTTTCTTTCTTGCTTCCAGGCAGATTGTGTGTTGCTTCTAGCTTCCTGCAAGTTGGGGGGTTTGTTTTGTTTTTTTCCTCTTCTGTCCTCAGAAGTAAGAGTGAGCCTGAGCAGCTGTTCAGCCTTTGCAGAAAAGACACATATCCCCCCCCCCCATTCTTTTTGATTGCAGAAGGCTAGGTTGATTTCCTTCCTTTTCCTTATGCAAAAGTTCCATTATTTTGAAGCAGGAGGGGGTGGGAGGATGTGCAGCGAAGAGGCAACAATATCTTAAAATGGGAGCATACACGAAGCAGAAATTTTCATGTCATGGATTGTACCATAGTCAGAATAACTCCATCATATTGTAGAACTACAGCTACAGATTAAAGCACTGCTTAACAATTTATGCTTTTGGGACATTGGTCCTAAGCCTAAGCCTTTGTGCATAAATATGGAATATGGAAAACATATCTATTTTTTTAAATAAAACACTTCATGGTTATGAGAAAGAGAACTGTTAGCAGTTTGCTTTTTTAAAAAAAAAATTAGAAGGGTTGTCATTAACCCAAAACAACTTATTTCAGCTTTGTAATCCTTTGTGTGAAAGTGTAGGATTGGATCTATAGGAAATGGTACCCAAACTGTGCACTAAATTACTTAGTTTTGTGTTTCTTTAAAAGAAAAGAGAGACCACAGTTCATTAACAGTTATCTTTAATCCTGCTGTTACATTCCTGGTGTTTATGGATGTATAAAAGCTTCATTAGTATCTATAGTGTTCATTATTGCAACTTCACATATACTGAGTGCTGGAGAAAATTCTAGGCAGATACAACAACAATCTTTCTTTAGGCAGAAATCAAATAAGATCTCATGTAGGAATGGCTGCCTTGGCTCTCAGCCATGCAAAAGACATTCCAAAATTTCAACCATTTCTTTCTTTGGGAAATTTGGGAAATTCATGGATATAGTCATCTTGAAATTTATTGCTTCCTGGATAATGGATCTCTTCATGGAACCTTAAAGTTGTCATTTTTGTGTACCATGGTTCCTATGAAGATACTTTCTATTTTTTTTTGTGATGTCCGTTTGCAAATGAGTTTGACACCATCCATTTGCAACATTGTATCTTTGTGAAGCTGTGTTTCTGTCAATCTTTTGACCTGTGAAAATATTACTGACGCTAAAGTGTCACTAATCAAGAAAGTTTGGGAACTTCTGACGTGAACTGATGATATAGTTAGACACAAACTTTCTTCTGAAAATTTCAATACTTCTCTAGATTATTGGGGATAGTTTGCTCAGATAGGCATACTGATCCTTGGAATATTTATTTCCAATCCACATGAATTACCAGGAGAACCAAATGAAGTAAACTAACCAAAGAGAGAAGCAACCTAGAACTAAAGAGAAACTTCCTGACAGTTAGAACAATTAATCAGTGGAACAACTTGCCTCCAGAAGTTGTGAATGCTCCAACACTGGAAGTTTTTAAGAAGAGATTGGACAGCCAGATAGTAGACTGAATTGTGATGAGGTTATTTGAATTCAAGTCCCATTGAAATCAAGTTGCATTGCAAAAGAACTTACTTTATTTAGGGGAAAGGTATGTTTAATTAATTTAGCCTGCTCTAAAATATATTTTGTATAAATTACTTGAGTTTTCGGACATTGTCTTTAAGGAGATAGCTTCTTAGTAAGTAGTAAATAGCTTGTCTCTGTAGAATATAGCTTTTTAATTTTAGTCATCAGATTTTGATAATTCACAGATACAATACATATTTTTGCTACCTTACAAGTTTCAGCAAGTCCTAACTACATTACATGATGAAGCTTATTCTTAGAAGATAGTATTGAAGATCGTGCATCTCTCTTTCATCAACGTTTGAAGACATTTTGGGGTCTTAACATAAAGTTTATTATCTCTAACCTGCATTTCTGACTCCCTTTCTTACTGCACTGGATGGATAAGAGCTGGGCCATTTCTGAATTCAGTCATATTCATTTTTGCACATCATAAATTGTAAATAAGACCTGAAATGCTCATGGTTTTCAGTTATATTTTGTACATGATGCACAATGCCTTTTTAAATTATTCTAACAGCTCTGAAGCTTTTACTGGACATTCCTTATAATTTCCATTTAAAAGATTATGCGTTTATAATGTGCTAAGACAGTGTCACTTAAAAGCTGGCAATGTCTTTGAGTTTCTATAATGAAAATAGTGTTTAAATGATAAAAGCTATTTAAGATTGCTTTCATTTTAGTATTATGAGAAAAAAATATTGTGCTTTAAACTAAAAAACAGTGGCTTAAAATAATGTTATATATTATTTCTTTTTTAGTAAATTCTATAGTTTGGGATATTTGCTTTATTTCTTGGTGCCCACAAAATTTGATTACCTGGCAGCATAGGACAGACTTTGTATCCAGGTGATTCCCATATGCAACATCCTTGTTTAAATGCTGCCATTAAATCGAGAAACCTCTAATTAACTTAATTTTCCATTTGTGGAAGGTGTGTCTAGCTTTGAAATCACAGAAAATGTTCCAAAGGGTCTTGCATGGAACAGTGAGGTTCAGGGGGTCCACATCTTGACCAAAGTGTTCATTTTAGGTACGAACCCAGAACAAGCATATTGGATCTTGGCATAGATGTTGTATGGTGGAAGACAACACATTAGTGGCAAGGTCATTGGCAGCAGCAGCTAAGCAAAGATACCAGAGAAGAAAAGTTTTTTGGTTATGCCACCTTTGAATTCAAATGGGGTAGCTAAGGACAGGGAAGATTTGCTGCCCAAACCATACAAAAGCAGAGAGTAGAGAGGAACAAGGTGCCCAAAGCTTGCTTTGTTCATCCTGCAGGACCCACCTGAAACATCTCTAAGCTGAAACATGAATCAATCAAGATATTCCCTGTTTCATTTCGAGATGCTCCATGATTCATCCAAAATGGTTCAGTTGATTTCCTAAACACAATGCATTGGTTTCATACTCAGAACAAACAAGTGTTTCAAGCATACTTCTATTTTAAATATAGTTGAATATCTTGGTTTATTTTGAAGCTGGAACCCCTATATCTTGGTTCATATAAAATGAGAAACACTGGTAAATTGTGTTCCTCATTTTATATCCTGACTAATTATCATGATTAATTAAAACTTAATTAAAAAAAGTAGAGCGAGGAGATTTTATTCATGGGCAAAAAAAAAGAGTTCTCCAGAGCTCACTTGTTAAGACAAGGTGTTATAGTCTGAAATAGGTCATCTCCTTTTTAGCCTTCAGCAATTTGTCATTTCTCAGACTCTTTTACCCGTTTATAAAATATGAAATACTGCATGGCTTAAGGAACACTTTGAGCATGACTGCAGCCAGCAGCACTGCACGTTTTAAGCTGGATCAAAGTTAAGTACATCTATTTATGTGGGTACCTTTAAAAAAATCTAAGAGATGTGTCTGAATTATGTGTATGTGTAAATTAATCTAGCCTTAAAAGACACGTTTCGCTGTGTGTCATATGAAGTTGTATGGCCTGATCTGGATGAACTTGATAAGTTTGTGACTTACTACTTTGCAGAGGAGCAGAACTAAAGATATACCCTGTATGTCAGTGGTGGCAAACCTATGGCACGGGTGCCAGAGGCTGCACTCAGAGCCCTCTCTGTGGGTACGCGCGCCGTAACCCCAGTCCTAGGCCTTCAGCTGGGTTTTATAAAACCTTTTTGCTTTAGGCCTCCGCCACCGTGTACAAAAAAAAAAAAAAGGTTCAATCAATCAGTCAATTTCAACTTCTTGCGGGAAAAAAAAAGATCTTGCAAAATTGGAATTGATTGAACTTTTTAGTCCCATCCAGTCTGCTGTTACCACCGCAGCCACGCCCACCCAATGGGCCACACCCACCCAATGGGCCACACCCACTCGGCACCCGACGATAAGTGGGTTTTGGGTTGCAGTTTGGGCACTGGGTCTCTAAAAGGTTTGCCATCACTGCTGTATGTTATCATCATTGCAATGGCATTTGATCAAACTTTTATCATTCTTTATATTTGAGCATTGATGACAGTGATTTGTAGTTTGTTTTATTTCCCTTACTGGTCTTGATAGCTTTTTGGATAAACATTGTAATATTTTCATTCTTCATGAAAAGGACATATTTGTTTTGCCATTAGTAGAATGTCAGGGAATACTTTTATTACTGTTTTCTTTTTCTATTTTTGATTTGTTTTTCTCTCTCTTTTAAGCGTAAAGATGGTGCTAATGTGGACCAGTGGTGACACCTTCAAGACGGTGTATTTCCTCCTGAATCAAGCTCCATTCCAGTTTTCAGTGTGTGGACTTCTCCAGGTTTTTGTAGACATGGCCATCCTTTTGCAGGTTTACTTTTTCAGCTATTACCCACAGAAACCTGTTCCTCATTCATCACATCCAGCCAGTACGAAGGCACTTTAAAGCACAGAACAGAAGCACTTATTCTTGTAGATGTAGAAGAGGCTGGGAGCCAGTTTTAGCTTCAACGCTGCTTGTACTTACTGTGTTTCTGAGGAACTAGAAACAGAAGAATCAAAGTTACATAGCTACATGGACACTTCTTTTGGCATTTTTCCCTCTTTCATTGGGTTGCATATCTATTGAAATGGGTTTGTCTTCTTTGGGGTTACAGTGAAGGGTTTTCTTTTATTTTCTTCCGTTCTACTCACTTCTCTAAATATCTGTGCACAGACAAATGGGTGTATCACAAGGGCTGGTTGTTAATGTTCTCAATACTATTTTTTCAAAGGTCAGTCATAAAAGTTGGAGTATTTTGTCCGAAGCATTTACCTATTTATATGCATATGGGCTATGTATTTGGAATATGTTACATTCCTTAGATGAATGTGCAGAACCTGTTTTTTTGTTTTTTTTTAAATGTGGTAGGCCACACTTGGTAAGATTGTAAGAGTTGATACTAGGAAGAAATGATTTAGTGAATAATGTCAAGAAATAGATTTTGTGCAACTGTGTTAAATATATATGTGCACACTGCTGGGCCAGTGTGATGTATAAATACATCAAAGTGATTAGTGATTTTGATACAAATGCTACTACAGCCAAACAGAACAGACTAATGCACAGTAAGTCTTCAGAGAGCTCAGAAGGATGAGTAATTTTGACACCTTGGAGAAATTACTAACAGAATCTAAAAAGGATTTATCGTTAAAGTGGAGGAGCTTGAAAGAAAGTCTGCGTTTAGTTTAGGCATTATTTGCATTCTGTTTCTGTATTTTTGTTTGGTGGAAAAGCCAAATCTTGTCTTCGCAATGCGAGCACAATGACATTTGTAAAGTTATACTCTTAAGTTGCACAGATCAACTACAGTAGTATTGCTTTTTAAGCTAAAGACATTATCTGAGTAATCTTCTCTCTGTGAAAGAGATGGTCTACTAGACTAGGGTAGAGAAGAGAGGGCAATACTTTAGTGCTGGATAATAGGGCAAACTTTTTTTTTTACATAGATGTTTGTGTGTGATATTTTTCTAAATATTTAATACCAAATGTCATTTTATGTTTGGGAAGAAGTGGGGCTACTGAAAACGAGGGGATAAATGATAGTAATTCTGAGTCCATTAAAGTTTTGAAAGTTGCTTCATTTTAGCAATGCCATCGCCAGTAACTGAAAAGGGAGAATGAAAAAGCACTTAGGGAGGCATATTTATAAGAGTAGAGAAACTGAAGAATCTATAAAACAAGTTCACCAGACTTATGTAAGTCTATTTTGGGATTTGATTGGGCTGCAAGAAAAGCATTGCTTGTATTGTTTTAAAAGTTCCTTGACTAACTTGTCAAGGCAAATTTGCTTCCATAGCTATGAGATATATATATATATATGCATTCAACAGTGGTTCAGGAACCACTCTCTTCTTGTAGCCTTAACAAAATTGTATGTGCTTTTGTTGTTAGATATAGCCTACATCAGGGGTCCTCAAACTTGGCCACTTTAAGACTTGTGGACTTCAGCTCCCAGAATTCCTCAGCCAGGCATGTGGCTGGGGAATTCTGGGAGTTGAAGTCCACAAGTCTTAAAGTGACCAAGTTTGAGGACTCCTGGCCTACATGGAGGGGGATTTTATTAAACGCCGATTCATTGATTCCCCTCAACTATCCAGAAAAATATATTGAAGTCTGACCAAAAGTCTTCAGCTGGATCTCCTCCTTGCCTCATCCAGTTCTCTCTCTTCCAAATCTGGGCTGACCTGAAGACATCAAAATTCCATCTTTGCAAGAGTGGGAATCTATCAGAAGCTTTGCTTGAATCTCTTCCACTTGCACATCTGATCTGGCTATGTGTCCTCTCCTATATTTCAGGTCTGAGGGACAATTTCACTAGGGCAATTCTGAATGCCCAGGAACTCGATCCCTTCCTTAAAGAGCAAAAAACTTAAGATAAGGCAACTAAAGGATGAGGCAATATGTTAATTGGCTATCGCTTTAATGGAGTTCTCTCTGCCCGGCTGGCAAATAAAGAAAACCTCAGGAAAGCCGCTATAATGAGAGCTTGGTGTGAAATGTTGTAGTTGACTAGACTTGTGCTGTTGACTGGCTTCATTGCTTATTCCTTAGTGCCTGAAGTGACCTTACCAAGCTGATTTTATGTAGCATGGCTGAATGTGAATGTTGCATTGCTCTCTCTTTCACAAATGTTCTAACTGTGTTAGAACAGGGTGGCAATCGTCTTTTAAATTATACATTTTCATCCTAGTTTTTCCTGGTGTGCTGCTGTAGCGAGGATTGTATTTCTACTCATACAACAGAATTTATTAAACTTGCAATGCTAGGTTTTGTTTTTGTATGGGGTAATATTCTTTGCTTTCCCAGTGTCTTTTGAAAAGAGATACGGGATTAAACTATTACGTTAGTGTAGCCTGAATATATACAAATACCTCTTTTTTTAAAACAAGTGTTATTGAAGGTAAAATTAATAGTATTCCACACACACCTACTTTTTTTTCCAGATGAGTTACTGTCCACAGATTCTTAACTTCTGCTGTCATTATTAAAATATAGGCTCAGAACATCACAGAACTACAAGTAAACCCGAGATTTTATGCACATGTGCAGTATTTAACTGTGTGGGTCACTCCTGAACTCCAGATAGCCACGTATTTAAGAAAAGGGCCATTTTAACACTACCCACATACGGTTTTAGGATCAATATCAATTGATTTCCAGGGGATCATAACTAATCCATTACATAGAAGAGAGCCAATTGCTGCGTTTTTTGTTGCCATGGCTTGAACATTTAAACCAGGGCTGTCCAACCTTGGCAACTTTAAGACTTGTGGACTTCAACTCCTAGAATTCCCCTGCCAGCATGAATAATGGGAGTTAAATTCCAACAGTTTTAAAGTTGCCAAGATTGGACATTCCTGATTTAAACCAAGAGTGGACAATCTTAATTAGACAATGGTAAAGCTCACTCTCCTGATCAACTAGAGAAGTGTAGCATGTCTTCTAGCAATGCGGGAGAATAAATGTTCTCTTAGCTTTTTTTGGGGTGTGGGAGGATGGATGACCCATTTCCCTGAAAACTGGCTATGTTGCCATCAAATTTCAAAAGTTCTCGAGATGCTAAGAGGCCACATTTCACCATAGGATACAGGTTGTCCATCACTTGCTTAAGCCTTCTCTTAGTCACAGGTAAACTCTTCATCAAGCAGCAGGTCTGATACATCTGTAAGAGTATCCAAAGAACACCTCTGTAATTAGGAAACTATTTCCTAAAAAAAAAATCTGTAAAGAACTTTTGTATATTTTAGCTACATGTTGAATGTATGGAAAAATCCAATTGCACTCATTAATGATCAGTTTGATTTTTTTTTTAAAAAAAATAAAGTTATACACAAGTGCATTATTTGTTTTTCTTTTCAAATGTAATAGAAGAAATATTGTTGTATGTGGGTTCAATTAGCCTGGCTTCTTCCTCCAAGGTATACTGAACTTGAGAAAGAAAACATTTAATTTGTATATACATACAGGAGAACTGAGTTGAGTTTCTGGTGTTGAAATAAGGCTGCTGTTTATTGTGTTCAGGACTGATTGTGCACCACTGCACAAAAGAAATTCAGTAACATACTCATTTCCAGCACAACTCATTTATACTCAATGGCCAGTCTTCTAAAATTGATGGTTTTAATAATGTAATACTTTAAAATAATGCATTTTGATAACAAAGATTTTATTTCTCCAAGATACCAATGATCTAATGCAGACATGTCAAACACAAGGCCCGGGGGCTGGATGCGGCCTGTGAATGGTTTCATGTGGCCCGCGAAGCCATCCTGGAAACAGTGAGGGAATGGCCCCCTCTGCCTTGGCCCTGGCCCAGGCCAGCTGGGAGCCAATATACAATTTTGTGGTGGCCATCTATGCTGAAACTCATTCAGTCTTAGCTCCATAAGCCCCCTCCTCCTGCATGGTCTGAGAGGAACAGTGAGGCTCCTCCAGTGGACCATGCCTTGGTGCTTGCCCTAGTCCCACCCCTTCTGCCAGAGACCCTCAAATCTATCCCACTCCTGCCCAGGCCCCCACAGGCACCCTTGACACAAATGGTGTAGAACTGGCCACACCCACCCAGTAGGCCACATCCACTCCATCCACGCCCACCCAGTAGGCCGCATCCCCCCTGGCCACACCCACCCGGTCCCCTGAGGGCAACCACAATGCTGATGCTGCCCTCAATGAAATTGAGTTTGACACCCCTGATCTAATGAGATGTTAATATATGCACTTATTACACACCATTCACACAGAACCAGACCTCTGGATAACAACTTTCTGAATAGATCTTTGACCTATTCCAATAGACCTCCTCTTCTGATCCATCGGTTTACAGCAAAACACTATTTTATACGTTTTGGCATGTAAAGTTAAAACATTTCATATACTTTATTGCCCAGAATACAATATAAAGTACAGGCTGAACTCAATGAATCCTGCATGGTGAATTTTGTTAGGATTGTAGGATAGAGACAACTATTTCAAATTCCAATAAAAAATTGCATGAGGAATTTTATTTATTCAAAAGACCATTTTTTAATCTAGTTTTTCTTTGCAGCACCAGAATCTCTTCACAAGCCTTAGAATGTGATATTTGAATCACATCTACAATCCTATATATATGACGGTGTGATAATCTGAAGGTTCCAGTTACTCTACTAAAGCACATTGTCCTATCCTTTCTGCCTTTATTTTTGTCAAATTGTGCTGCTTTAATCTGCAGGTAGTCCTCAACTTACAACAGTTCATTCAGTGACTGAAATTATTAACAGGACCGAAAAAAGTGACTAATGACCATTTTTCACACTCCATGACCATTGCAGCATCCCCGGGGTCACGTAATCAAAATTCAGACTCTTGGCAATTGACTCATATTTATGACGGTTGCAGTGTCCTGTGGTCACGTAATCACCTTTTGCGAGTTCCTGACAAGCAAAGTCAATGGGGAAGCCAGATTCACTTAATAACTGTGCTACTAATTTAACACCTGCAGTGATTCACTTAACAACGGTGGCCAGAAAGGTAGTAAAATGAGGCAAAACTCACTGAACAAATGTTTCACTTTAACAACATAAATTCTGGATTCATTTGTGTTGTAAGTCAAGGACTACATGTATTCCTTTGTTTTTGGACATAAAAATAGAAAAAAATGATACTGTTGCCATCTAGAACAGGGGTCCCCAACCTTGACCACTTTATGATTTGTGGACTTCAACTCTCAGAGTTCCTCAGCCAGGAATTCTGGGAGTTGAAGTCCCCAAGTCATAAAAAGGCCAAGGTTGGGGACCTCTGATCTAGAAGTCTGGGTATCATAGAAAAAGCGCTGCTTCTGTCAGTTGCACTAACATTTCTTTTGGCAGAGTGCGCCATATATTCCAGCAGCAGCAGCAGCAGCAGCAGCAGCAGCAGCAGCAGCTATGCTCCTAGTATAATACAAAAATTTAAACAGTCCTTGGGTAAATGGCTGACAACTGTTGCTCCAATTCATACCCCCAAACAACATTAGGCACTACGCATCAGGACTCTGCCAGTTTAGAACCGGTGTTGTAATTGCATGGTGATTGCACAATGAGTTCAGAAGCTAAGCCATCTTATTTCCAACTAAATGGTGTAACCCAAAACTGCAAAACAAAAACAAAACGGACTCTGCTTCTCCATTGGATGTACCTCTTGTCTCTGTGTCCCTCTGAGTTCCTGATTGTCCACCATTCTAGCAGCAACTTTAAGGGCAATGCTAATCTGACTAGCTGGGATGAAAGTGAGAAGTTTTCTTTCCCCTTTCCATTCTATTATACAGCAAAGAACAAGTTGCTTAATTTCTCTCTCTCTCTTTCCTTCCCTGCCTCCGTCCGTCCCTCCCTCTCTCTGTATTGGGAGAAGGAAAGATTCTAGTTGGTCCTATGAGGAAGAAATGGCACAACTTTCTCTTACAATGAGTTCCACTTCCTGTAGCTTAAAAATTACATGTTGCCTCCTTTCACTGGTATTACATACAGTGAAGCATCTCTAATGCTGGATGGGATTGTACTGCCCCAAACAGACCCTGTGCACAATCTGGGGTCTTCCAGGACTCCTAACTCCTGCTCTAGGAGCAGATGGCACACATAACTAGGAAGGCCTTTGTATATTGTGGTCCAGTTAAGACCATTCTTGGATCAAGGGGGCTTGCACACAGTCATTCATGCCCTCGTCATCTCCCAGTTGGACTATTGCAATGTATTCTACATTAGGCTACCCTTGAAAACCATCCAGAAACTTTAGCTGGTGGAAAATACAGTTATGTATGTTCCTGGTAGTACTCATGTTACACCTCTGCTGCACATGTTGCGTTGGTTTAACAGTTTGTTTCTGGATCCAGTCCAAGGCACTGGTATTGACCTACATGACATGGGGCCGGGATACTTGAGGCACTGTCTTCCTGATTTCTAATAGAGTAGACATATTGTAGATTCCATCATCTAGGGAGCCCTAGGCAATGATATTTTCTGCTGTGGCACTTGGATTACGGAGTCTTCTCCCTCCAGAGATGAGGCCAGTGTCATCATTCTTGAGCTGCTGCAGGTCCCTGAAGATCTGGTTGTGCCAGCAGGCCTGAAAACTCCAGGGGAGGGGCGAACTTGTGAAATGGCTCCATTACTAACATCCCACTGTTATTTTCCTTCTTTAGTTCTGTTGTTATAATATTTAGTGTTTTTGTAATGATTGCTTATAATGGTTTTAGGTCATGACTATTTTATATAATTTTATTGAATTGTTTAACACCATCCAGGGTCACTTTCTGTGAGATGGGCAGCCAGTATAAATTTGATAAATGAATTTGATTGCAAGAAGTACAGAGCATGATGCTACCTTTATAGTTTTTAATGAGGCTTTAATACATGAGGATCAGATAGGTTTAATGCATTGGGTGGGGGGATGATAGCCAAATGCATGTTGGGGGAGTGTTAGCCATGTATGTAACTTCCTTTTGGTTTGGAATGGAAGTTGTTTTTGCTCCAGGACAAATAGTAGTTTAAGCAGAGCATTGATTGGCACTGAAGTGAAAGCATTCCTGCTCAAAATTCTGAAATCAACAAGAGCAAAGATGGTTACTTTGGACCATTTCACATTACTTATAGGGGGCTGAAATGGTTTGTAGAAGTGCCTATTATTTGCTAAACTAGCTAGAAGAGAGATTAATTCCAAATTAATCACATTATTTTAGTAGACCTCAGGAAAATGGAACAAGTTATACTATTAATTGGTCACACTTCCAAAGTAGGAATGGACTTTCTATTGTAGTGTGAGCTTAGCTTCTTCTATCTTTCCTGGGTTCTTCTGACTCCAGCCTAAGTCCAGAAACACTTTCCTATGTGAAAAATTGTGAATGATGTACAGTTCTACATATTAAATCAATATTAAATGCACATGGAAAACAAATAGTTTGTGTGTGATAGAAATGGCTTCCATAGGTAAAAGAAAACTAGTTTTAGATTATGTGCCACAAGGTAATTTTATTTTCCTTTCTTATTTTCAAAATGAACTGGAACAAATGAGAATCAGCAAATAGAAATTAAGAAGCTTTTTTTTTTTACAATGTTCCTTGCTAACAGATGACATGTTTAATATAGCTCAGCCATACAAAACAAGACTGCATAAACTCCCAGCGTCATCACAATCTTGCGGACCAAGAATCAATACAAATGAAAGAGTAAGTGGACTTCAGCCTTACTTATTAGTACCTTCGGCACTAAGACCCTCTATTTTCAAAAGCGGTAAGGCTCTTAATTTTTGCTTAGATCCGGGACTTGGAAGTCATCACAATTACTAATTACTGTAAAAGGCTCCTGCCTTCCGGTAGGAAAATATACTTCAAACATACCGCTTCATTGTGACCCTTGTGCGGTTGTTTCTGACATTTTTAACTATGAGGAAAAGATTTGCAGGGTCAAAATCCATCCAAACCAAAAGCTTTTATCTCACATTTTGTAAATCCCACATGCCCCATGGAACAAAACTTTTGTTGCAAACAGAAGAAATTAAGAAGTGCAAATGTGTTGTGCTTCCTCCTTTATTGTGCATCTTTGCAACGGCCAGGGCTAACATTAACTGGATGTTCTGTGGTTTATCCTATGTTCAACTCCAGGCCAATACAATTCTTTTTATTATTGATAGCATTAATTTCATTATTATTATTATTATTATTATTATTATTATTATTGAGAAAAGAGCAAAAGCTTCCCATTTTTTTTAACCTAACACTGCAGGTGATAATTATTGGAATAAAATGAAAGCCCAATTTTGCTGTTTAGTTTAAAGAGGACTGGAGCCAGCCAGCTATAAATGCCTCAGAAGTGTCTTCGTCCATTTTAAAAATATCATGGCTTTAGTACCAATGGATCAGGCATACGGAAAAAAATTCAACTAGAATCATTTTAAAGCAACACACATTTAAATCTGAACAAAGGAAACACCATCTAAGCCAGGGGTGGACAACTATGGCCCCTTTATGACCTGCTGACTGAGGAATTCTAGGATTTGAAGTCCACAGGTTGTAAAGGGGCCATAGTTGCCCACCTGATTTAAGCTAAGGTGCAAAACTTCCTGTTGCCAATAGCAATAATGCATAAAGAACTAAAGCAGGCCTTTTTATTGAAGGAAAAAATAAATAATGGGCAACGCAGAGATTGGCTTCGCAATTAATTTCAAAATGTCTTCCTACCCATATAGCAAATTTTCCCTTTTAACCTCTATGCATACTTCATAATGTACACCGCAACCTGAATCCACTAGAGATACAGCTAGGGAGAAACTATTGCTGGGCAATCTGTCAGCTTCTATAGCGAATGAATGGAACAAGAACTACCTGACTTTGGATACTTTTAATAATACATTAGCTGTGTTATTTCTTCCCACATACACACAACAGAAACAAGTTTGAAAATTGCCTTTGAAAGCGCAATTAGCAGCATCGTTATTGCTGGAGAGTCTCTGAAATTCTAAAGGATGTTACATTAAAGCCAACCAATTCTCAGCACTATGATCATGTAAGCTGTTGCTCAAAAGACAGTCTTTCTGATTGTAAAAAGAGATCTAAGTAGTTTGTTTACTTTAAGATAGGGGTCTCCAAACTTGACAACTTTAAGACTTGTGCACTTCAACTTCCATGCTGGCTGGGGAATTCTGGGAGTTGAAGTCCACAAGTCTTAAAGTTGCCAAGTTTGGAGACTCCTGCTTTAAGACATAAATACCCCTCCATCCATTTTTCTCCTTCTATTCTCCAAGATTCTAATTTCCTTCGCGTCAGCAATACTTAGTCCCTTGTTCCATTTCAACGGGAATCGCTGCTCCGTTATTGCCCCGCAAAGAGGAGGACTCTTCTTCTTGAGAGCTGCTGTCTTCTGGAAAGTGGTTGCTTTCTTCCAGTTCGTGAAATTGCCTATTAGCAGCACGCTGCTGTTCTTCCTTAAGCTCGATGTATGAGCGCGAGAAGGTGTGGAAAATGGAAGTGACAGGAAAAGCCATCAGCAGGATGCCACTCAAGATACTGCTTAGGGCCACAACCTGCCCTGGAATGCTGCGAGGCACCATGTCACCATAGCCGACGGTTGTCATGGATATCACAGCCCACCAATAACTGCTTGGAACACTGGTGAATTCATGCTTGGCGCCCATTTCGTTTTCCGCCAAGTAGACAAGGGGCGAAAAGAGTGCCATAGCGACGCAAAGAAAGAGGAGAAGCAGTCCAAATTCCCGGGTGCAGCGGCGCACAGTGAGTCCTAGTGTCTGCAGCCCCAGGGAGTGCCTTGCCAGGCGCATGACGTAGAGGATGCGAAGGGCTCGCAGAGTCCGCAGCACCAGTCCCACTCTCTCCAGGTACTTGTTTCCAACTCCCCCTCCCCCAGGCTTGTCGCTGGTTTTGGGAGAAGCCATGTCTACAATCAAAGAGATGTAGAAGGGCAAGATGGCCAAAATGTCTATAATGTTGAGCGGCGTCTTCAGAAAGGCACACTTGCTCTCCGCCTGGATGGAGCGCAAGAGGAACTCGAAAGAAAACCAAGCCACACAGACCGTTTCTAGCACAAAGATGTCATGGCACTTTTGGGAACATTCCCCCTGCAAGGAAGGCAGAAAATTAAGAGTTATTTAGCAAGCCAGCCAAAAATCTTTAGTTTAAGATGCCAAAAATGCTCTTGTGTTGTGTCTTCTGTGTTCCTGTAAGTAATCTGTTGCAGTTTAAAGCTGCGATATAAAGCTAAACTAAATGCATTTCTATGCATTGGCATCTTTGAGATCAACAGATTTATTATGGGATGGACCTACCCAGACAGTAGCCTCCTTATCACATGAACTGTTCAAAGTATTCATTTTCCTAATGAATTTGTAACATTTATAGTAAATTTCTCTAAAAATAATGATCAGACTGACTTTATTTTTATAAATACCTAAACCCTTGAGAGCAGTTTTTAAACCTGGCAATTTTAAGATATGTGGACTTCAACTCCCTCCAACTAGCATGAATAATGGGTTTAAAAACAGCTTTTTTCCCCAAGGACCAAATCCCAAATTCACACTAAATCTGGGGCTTGATTCTGGCAAAATAAAAAAAAGTAGTAATTACTTTACATTAAACAATTTTATTGGAAAAGCTTTTAAAAAAGCTTATTCTACAAAACATTTTCCTTCTAAATTAAAACTAATAACTGCCATTAAAAAAAATCCAATAGGTAAGAGATCTGTTTGAATATTACTCCTTCCTGGAAAATGAACAAAGTTGTTACTTAAAGGCTGCAAAAATACTCACCGACCCTACACTTAAGCAACAATGAATAATCATTTTTCTTTGGCTATTTCATCTCCAATTCCAAATATAGCTGCATATACCTTTTCGTTATGTGTGAATGTTAATCACTCCCAAAAGAAAACAGAACAAACCAAGGCTATTAGAACAAACATGAAATATTTTTCCTTACAAATTCAATGTACTTGATGAGGGGAGTGCAGGGTTTAAAGGTGGAACAAGGTTTGCCTTCCAACAGTCTTCTCATTTCCATTTCTATCTTTACTTTTGAAAAAAAAAAGAACGCCACAAATTGTACCACTGAAAACCAGTCTTTTTGCTGCTGAATTTTGACAATGTGATTTCTGGGTGCAGGGGAATAGGCAACATATGGGTAGCAAATGTTTTTTTTCTAAAAGGCAACTGGACTTTTTTTGGGGGGGGGTTCCCCCCTTTGAAAACATTTTGTTTCTCATCCAAGAAATTTTTTCAGCTCAGAATTGAATTTTGGAAGAAGCACCTTTGGGACAATCATGACCTGGATAAGGTCTTCAAACTTCTCAACTTTTAAGACTTGTAGACGTCAACTCCCAGAATTACCCAGAATGAATTCTGAGAGTTGAAGTCCACAAGTCTTAAAAGTTGCCAAATTTGGAGACCCTGGACCCACATGATTGAGAATCTCCATAGACATATGGGTAGTGGAACTTACACTACTGAACAGAATTATACAGTTGTTTTCCAGCAATGCACTTTCCTTTTATCTGAAGCTAAAAGAGTGCTGACTTGCTGAATTCCTAAAATCCACCATCATTTATGGAAAAAAAATATTAGACATTTCCTACAAGTCTGCTCAAGGGACTACTGAGTGGTTGTGATGGTATATGGGAAGGACCTTGGGGGACAGGAGGAAGAACCACAACTGTAGACTGTGGACTGATAAAATTTCAGACCTAATGAGAAGGGAGAGCAAAAGTGTATCAGAAGGGACTCTCCGTAGTTTTGGGGAGTGTAAAAGTGAAGAAGAGGAGGGTGTCTTTCAGACTTGCAAGATTCTGTTAATGCAACTTTACAATAGAAACAGTAATCACAGACATCCTTCTTGTCTGGAATATCTCAAAGGTCTAACAGTGATTTAGATCACTTTTTACACTGAGGAGGAGAAGGAACCTGAAATATTTTAATGAAAAGGAAAGGAGGCAGATATGACATTTCTAAATTACTGTTCTCTCAACTGATATAATTTGCTGGAAGAGATGTGCAAGGACAAGGCTGTTAAACAAAGTCAAGGTTCTGTAGGATTCTAGGCTCCCTCATTATTCTGGCAAAAAAAACCCCTAAAACCAGACAAAGAACTGAGGTAATTTTGCCCAATTAGACAACAAAAAAGAAAAAGGTAGGAAAACAACCACTAGCTTCTCATTTCCATCAATAGAAGCCAGCAACACATAGGCATAATGTTACTTTCAATCAGTGCTTTTTTTGTGAAAAAAAAAGGTGCCAGAACTCACACCTATCATACAACCCGCCTTGTTTACCCTACAAGGTTCCATCCCAAAAAGATGCCGGAACTCCGTTCTGGGCGTTCTATGACAAAAAAAGCCCTGTTTTCGATGACAATTTTCCAGCCTCACTTTCAAACCTAGCAGTAAGATTTCCTTGTTAAGGTGACCAACTGTCCTCCTTTAGGGAGGACAGCCCTCCTTTTTTAAGTTCTGTCCTCCCTCGAAAAGTGTCCTCCTACATGTCCTCCTTTTTGATATTTCAAGACTAATCTGCAGGGCTTTTTTTTCTCATAGAACGCTCAGAACGGCGTTCCGGTACCTTTTTTTGATGTTTTTTTTTCAACTTTTGCATGAGCTGTGCTACTCCCCCTATTGGCTTTCGAAAGCCAATAGGAATTGCTGCTGAGTGCGCCAAAACACCCGGCCGGCAAACTTTGCACATGTAAGTTGTCTGCAGCGAAGGCGAATTGGCAGAAACTTTGCACCTCTCCCTGCTACCCAACTACACCATCTCCCAATTAGTCCCAAAGATACCTGGAGGAGACTGGAGCAGCGACACCACGGTAACTTTCTCTTGATTTTCGGCCCTGCTAGGGCAATAATGGCTGTGGGCGCAAGAGGCAGGGGCAGTGGGGCTGCTGCGGGCAGGGGTGTGAGGGGCGGCAGTGGCCGGCTGCCCCGTGCTGTGAGAGCCACGGGGCCTGCTCTACACAGGGCTGTGCAGGATGGGTGTGGTGCTGGCGGGGTGGCTGCAGGCGGAGTGTGTCAATGGTGGACTGCCCCCCCGGGGCCGGAGCCAGCACAGCTGGTGCTTTGGGAGCCGCGGGGCCCGCTCTACACGGCGGGGCAGCAGTGCTGGCGGGGCGGCTGCGGGCAGGGGCGCAGCATGTAAGCATAATTACAATATATTACAATATATTATATACATAATTACAATATATTACAACATGTTACAAATGTTTTTTATTATGCATTTATCATATTATAGTGTATTCTGTATTATTGTTGCAATGAATAAAATGTTTCTTTTATTTACGATATTTTTTTATTCAATTTATTTGTGTCCTCCTTTTCATTGTAAAAAAGTTGGTCACCTTATCCTTATCCAAAAAACATTTTTAAGTTTTTATCTGGGAAAACAACAGTGGTCAATTCAAGTCTTTATTCAGGTCACAGATCAACAAAAAACAAAAGTCAGAATGTTATCTACTTAGTAGATAACCATGCATATCTTATATGGGAAAAAATGAAATCGAACTTCGCCATATTTCCATTCCAGTATTTTAGATCATACTGGAATATTGTTAAAGTTGTTACGGAAAGGAATGATTTAAAATGATTTAAATAATTTGCAAAGATAATTTGCCAGAGAACTAAGTGGCACATTCATGCATATTATAAAATAGGCTGATCATAAAGAACTAGTTCTAGCTGTGGAATGAACCTTTTAAACAAAGAAGCCTCAAGTAGAAAATTGTAACATGGGAAAAGAACATGTAATTCAGGGAGAAAACACACAGCTGACATCTCTCTTTTAAAAGTTCACGTACATTCAATTTCTTTCAGAAGGAGAACTGAGAATTATTTCCACATTTCATTGTGCATATATTTTATAGTTTTATAGCTGGCACAACTAGATTTTGGATTGGAATAAAGATCCATTTAGTCTTGCATTCGGTTTTCAAATATGATCAGCTGTATAAGCAATACGCTTCCTTCACTTCTTCCCTTTCACATTTAGTTCTTACAGGTTATAGCCACCAATGGACCCATTCTTCCTAAATTGCTTTCAAATGATAAAACCAACATCAACTGTGTGGTGAATAATTATGATTCCAGTGGTAGTGAATTACATTAATTATACATTGTGGAAGGTACTTTATTTCCAGCCAGTACATTGTATTGCTTGCTCTAGGTCCTAACATTTTAGAAAAGGATTAAAATATCCAATGCCATATATAATTGTATAATTTCTATAGTATAATCTCTTCCTAGCCATCATTCTTCTCTCATATAAACATTTTTATTCTGGAACTAAAAACCAATAACTAAATTATCAAAATATAATAAACAGGGAATCCTGGGAGTTAGACCCAGAGGAAGAAATCCAAAATCTCTTACCAGGATTTACAGTACATTATTGTATTGTCTTCCTGAAGCAAATCTGAACTTCTTTTGGGGGGTGAGGGCATCTTAATAAAATAACAGGCAAAAGAGTGAAAAATTTTCTTTTTCTTCTTTTGGCTTGTTGCTTCTGCAAAGAGTTTGGTACAAACATGCTCTAGCAACATCTTTTTTCCTGCCATGTCTCCATGCCGTTGTGTTCACAGTACACCAAGCCATGAATGAAACAAGTTATAGTTTTTTTCGCTGCATGGGTATTATTATTGAATATCAACAATTAAAGGGAACCAACACTAAAGAAGGATGCTATAGATTAGAACTTGCTAAGATAACAATAAAGGTACTGGAAAAAATATTCAGATATTGCAATGTGTCTATACCTACGAAGATCAGATTCATGCAGGGAATGACACTTTAAGGAAGTGAAAGTTGGGCTCTGAAGAAGCAGGAGTCTGTTGATGCTTTTGAACTTTGATAATGGAGAAGACTCATGCAGATGCTTTGGATAGCTAGTTATGATTGTTTTTTGTTTTAAGGAAACTTTATTCAGTCTGGGTGAATAAAATAGAATAGAGTGTAAGAAATGGTGTAGGAAGAAACTTAGAGTCGACAAAACCCTGTAGGCTTCCTCCATTCCTGCTATAACACTGTGATTCAAGCACTTTAGAAGCAGATTATCTAGACCAGTTGCAAGGCATGACACCTGG